TATATATATATATTATTTTGTTTTAAAGTATAAAATATAAAATATATTCAAATAAATGTAAGTAACACAAACATAAACATAAAAAAAAAGTAACTAAAATAAAATCGTGAATTGGCCACAATAGTTACACATTCTTCATGTATATCGAGTGATTAATTCTACATACTGTAGAAGCACCAATGATGAATGCCACGACGTCGGTAAGCGAGGTAATACTGATAGCAGAACCGGCATGACCTAACGTAAGCCCGATTCTTTCTGTTAATGGCTTGTTTAAATTTGATTCATCGGTATGTATCTGTTTCCAAGATGCATTAATTACGAAAATATCATCAATCCCTAAACCCAAGAGCATAAATGGCAATGAAGTGTGCACTGGACCATATGGGATTCCTATTAGAGAGCATACTCCCACTGCAAGAATAAATGCAGCACCCACGCATAAAAGACCGGTACTAGTAAGACAAAACTGCGGAAAAGTATAAAGAACTTTTCACTAAATATAAATTTCAAATCATCCAAATATTATTATTCTTGTAATAATCATACATACCCGCCATTCCACCCAGTTACGATTCGATAAAATCATTAAGACATATAGGAACATTAACAAAATTCCTACAATTAATTTATCTATATCTTGAAACATAGATGAACCAGAAATATCTCCGAAGCTTCTACCAGCTTCGTAATAAAGCATCAAAGAATTATTTCTTTCGCTTTGCAGTTGATACCAAAGATTTTGTATATTTTCCAGAAAAGCTGATTCCCATTTCAATACATCCTCTGTAGCCTAAATAGATAACTGGTTTTTTATTTCTGAGTTAATTTTTACTTGTTTATTATACGAATTAGATTCAATGAATTAAAATAAAATTCTGAGTAATAAGTGTAAACTATTATTCAAATAAGTAAGTTTACAGTAAAGAATATTATGTTGTAATTGATGATAATAAAAGTAATAATCTCATATAGAAAAAACAGATATTTGTAAAATAATTAAATTATTTGTAAATAGTATAAATAGTACAATTATTAATTTTGTAATATTGCCATAATAGAAGTATATGTATTA